TAATGACTCTTCTTGTAATAAGAATAAGGTATGACAGTCCGTCTCAGTTATACTCGGCGGGGATTAGGTGCCATGACGTGATATTTGGTTTATTCTGATTGGCCGACATTATCAGATACAATCAGCAGCAAGTTAGGTTACTACAGTCTATCAAATTATCGCAATTATTTTTAACTCTACCATCAATACATTAAGGTTTAAAATCGAGTGAAGAAATGTGTGATGTGTGGTATCATGAGTGATTTTATATAGTTATTTCATATTTATTTTATTTTAAATCTTTTCATTATTCAATGCAAAGCATTTGACCTTTTTTCAAATATCAATGAATTAGAATAAAATTCTGAAACATGAAACAGACAAAATAATAGCATCTTATTTTGTCGACCCAAAAAGAAAAAACATGCTCGTCCTTTCTCAGCCCCACAAAAATCTGGAGAAAATGAAATTATTCCTTTCTTGTAAAAAAATTCAGCGCCACCTATTGTGTAAGCACTTTAGAGAGCTAACTCAAAGCACTTGATTGTTATAAAACGTCATTGTTATTAGTACAAAGTTTATCTGCTGGCGCTGAACCGATAGGCATTTGTTATTCTTCTGAGGAACGTGCAATGAGCTAACCCACACTAGCGTAGACACCTGTAATTATGTAAGGGGGCGTGTCGATTTCTAAAAGTCATTCAGTGTCCTCAGCGCCTTAATAAGAAACATATACTTTACCCAAAACTTTGTAAAAACAAAATAAGATAATTGACAAAGTGAGATATACACCTTTTTCGATCGAGATACTTTTGTGACTATAACAATGATGTTACAGGTTGCATAAATCTGTGAACGGGTACAATTGGCTAATCGACCCCATTGAAAACTATTGTTAAAGTTACAAATTATTTATTTCATTTGCTACTATATAAATCAGTCTGTTCTATAATTGAATTACGTAATCACGAATTGAAATGTGATGTTGTTTATCATCTGATCGCATATCAATGGCTTAATTTACAATCTCTTACAAAATTAAATACCAAGATATAGAACGAGAACATAAGAAAATTAAATATTATAGAATATCCTGTGCATAGCACATTTGAGCTTGAAGTTCCGAGTTAAGCTTCTGTGAGCCGCCAAGAGACAACGAATACCTTGTGGATTTCAATTCGCTTTGTCAAAAGGGGGTTGAGAACTGAGAATACGTTTAGAGTCAAGAGCGCACTTGCGGCGACCGATATCTTCAACCGAGATACCGCTTTAAGCCTTTTTACGTAACTTAACTTGCCGCATTACACTGCAAGACTTGGAATATTTTGATAATAAGAATTAAGCGTGAAACGGCTGATAGACTTTTTAATGATTCATTTATCACAATGCTTTGAAAATCAGAACTTTCGGAACGCAAAGTGAACTTCATAATTATGTTTTATGAAATAACAGCAACATGTGTCGCTGTTTCGATTGGAGTTGGAAACTAATATTGACCACGAGCGTCCAATTGAGTTTTTCTCTATGCTTGCTACGGAGTGGGTGCTTTGTATTGGTTCATTGTTTTTGTGGTAAGTGGTCGGAGATTGCACAAATCGATGCTCGTGTATTTGAAGTGAATGGAACTGTTCAGTTCCAGTTAATGGTTCCGCTTGTTTTGCTCTGTAACAATAGTGGTGTCAGTGAATCTATTCACTAATAGCTACATTAACTCAACTCGATTACATGTCCGATGTAGACTGTATCTTTGAGATATTAATGCACTGTGAAGCACCGGCTATATTGTGTAAATAGCAATCGGATTACACTTCTCGGTCGTTCCAAGCCTTGAACTTATTTGTGGCGAATCTAAAATGAATTCTGTTTATTTATTGGGAAACGAATTAGGTGTCATATTGTATTAAGCAAGGTATTAGACGAATAGGCTACGAAGCGTCTTTATTTGATTACCGTAGCTATGGCGCGGCAGGAATACCGGTAAATTTAAATCTTCGTCTGTAACGAATAAATCTCAGGGGATATTTCATGCGCCGCTTGCTCGCGAACGTATTTCTGCAAGCCCGATAGGATGTCAATCTACTTTAGACCTAAGGTGCTTTCAGGATTGCGTCACAGTGACGTCCCCGAGCCATTCGTAGGGGCGTGAGTGGTACCACCTAAAATCACACCTTAGTTACATTATCATCTGAATTTTACCATCGAACTCGTCTGCAAACCGGTAGGGAAGACGCAACTTCTCGCCGAGAGTTAACCGGAGAGGTTGTAAAACAAGTCTAGCTAGCCTGTCGCGTCTAGACGGCGCGTCGGATCCCTATCGGCTGCCGTAAAATTATGTGACGTGGGCGGGCTATGCAGCGCCCTAGGATATCCGGTTGAGTCCGATCTTTATTTAATTAATGTAATTTACGACCAAAATATTAATGCACCTTATTAGGAGGTACAAAACTGATATTCTTTAAATTTGTTTACTAATATTGTTGTTTGGTTAATGATATTGTATTTCGTAAGTTTTTTGTGATTTTATATATAGTAAGCGATATTTTTGTCTTCTTATTTCAATGGCAGTACTTCAATTTCGAATAATGTAGGTATTATTACTGTTTAAATATTTTAGGATATAAGTACTTTTAACATAAGAAATTCTGAAGGAGTTTGAAGTATATTCTATATGAAATTACAAAATTATTGGATGACGGTTTGAGCGTAGGTAAAGTTTTATGAAAGTAAACCCATTTTAAAGATAATTATTATAAGTAGTTGGAGTTACTAAGTAAAGTCGACAGCATAAATTTTAACTATATAGTTTAGGAACACGTAACAAATATCATATAATTTTCTATATAGGTAAGTAACTTTGAACGTGTCTTAAATATATCGAACTTATGAAATTCTTCTTCCTTCAACTTTTAATTAAAAGATACTCGCTCGGATGGCATGTGGATTCTTTATCGTGAGTCATCGCCAATCTGAAACGATCCGATAACCGTCGTTGAGAAAAATGACGTTTGTGCAACAAAGGAATCTAGATCAAACGGACAATACGCTCTTTATGAAACCTCGTTAGTAATTTGAGATGTTAGCGCCTTTTCTCTGTGGTGAGAGTTGTGTTAAATGGCGAAACTGTAGCACAATGGATCTCAACTACCGACGCAATGTTATTGCAGCGCGTGTGCGCGGCTGTCGCGGGTCATCGCGTTTCGACCTTTCACCGTCTCTCGCGCAGTCGCTATTGCAAATCCGAGATGTTAAGCCTACGCACTCATTTATCACAGTGAATTTATATATTCTGCCACCATGGCGTGACACCATGTGGCGTCCGCAATTGACACCTGATAATTATGTAGCTTCATAAAAATGAAGGTGCATGGTGAGTTACAATGAGATGTAAATCATGATAATATAGAACCACCAGTTTTAGGGTCGGTACATATCTGACCAAATATGCGTCGGCTACTCGCGGATACTTCCATGAGACGCTTGAAAATTCTCCCGTCATGCACCTTCCTTTAATTACAGAAGATTAGCCTAATTTACAACAAATTGAGGTTTCATATTAACTTTAAGAATTTGTCAATTTTCTATATCTATTTAAATTATCATTTACAATGCAGTGTTGATACTTTCCCACGACTTTTGTATAACCTGTAAAAGTGTAGACTTTTTTTCTTTAATGTAATGAAAACACAATTTAGGAAATATTTTTAAGAATCAGGGATATAAAACAAGACAATAGTTTGCGTTTCACATATTAAAAATGTAGATTTGTGATATTTTATTTGAAGAATATTACAAGTGTATGTTTTTTTTTCTTTTCATGTAGATACTGTAGTTTTAATTATTATTCTTAATATATAAACAGACTTATAAAACTTGCTTACTTTATAACTATATCGATGTATATAAACAGAATGAATAATTTAATTAATGTAAAGCAACATTGGCTCTGCTCAGCATCGGTAACAATGGAGGCCCGTTTTCCGCTCGTCTATAGCTTAATTACTGGGGTGATCGTACACCGCAAATGAACGGTATTTTGGCCAGGGAGGGGTGATTATCCATAGTTTAAATATCGTCGGGTAACTGTGCGGCAACACAGACACCATCCTCTTTACACACATCCTCCGTATTCAAACTTTTTTTAAATCTCGTATTTTATGACCTTCTATTTTACCTTCTCTCGTACCCTTAACGTACAATTAAACATAACTCGATATTTTTTTCTTTCTAATTGAAATTATTATAGCTACGAGGTAAAGTTTGGATTTTTATTATTCTTCAAAGTCATTCTAAACTAATAAAAAGTCCATCATCATCAGCCCTTTTCTTAGTAACCAGGGACACTCCTTTATAGATGGTTAAGGAGAATGGGCCATAACCCTATACGCTGGGTCAATGCGGTTATTAACGACTGCAAAGGCAAATGAGACCAACGGCTTAAACGAAGTAGTTATTTTTAGTATAGCGATCCGAAATAGTAATTTTTGGTAATCCATCTTATGATCGTATATAATCCATCTTATACCATATAAATCCATGAAAATTATAAAACTTAGATTAGATAACTAATATAATTAGATGTTACCTAGAGGAAAATAGTTTATTTATAATGAAATTAAAAACTAATGATTATTCATAAGAATCGATATTACAGTATTCTATAATCGATTGCGACCTCCCATTTTTAGACAAGTATGTGTAGACGTGTTTCTACGCAGACCGTTTTGTAACTTTGGCGGCGATTTTGTATTATCTTCTGTATTATGGGGAGCATACTAGGTTCTATGGGCAGTTTAGAATTGAGGTCTGAAGAGAAATGCCGGATTCTCTGGATTTATTAGAATTAGACATAAATATAAATAAAGTCCTAATTATAAGGGGTAGAATTAAGTCGAGACATTGGGAGGAAACAATATTATGTGTACATTTTAATAAATAATGACACATCCGGATTAGATGGCATAAGAGAACACTGCTGTTATTGTTTTATTGGTCGATGTACACTGGGATGCTGTGCTCATATAATGACCATAGTTTGGTATCTTGGATGGGCCAGACATGAACAGAATGTAGCTGCTCCTGCAGCATTCCGTGATGAGGTATTCAATAGAGTTGTAATAAAGAAAAGAAAAATCAACATGTTGTTTTGCTATATCCTTTTGACATTAGTATTTTCACTACTACTTTATATAAGTTATAGTGTAAGATTGAAAAGTAGAGTTATTGAGAACAATCCTAAAAATTCTATTATTTTTTTGATGTTCATTGGTTCACAAAAAATGATTTTATTTCTTACAGTCAATAAAAATAATATAGGTATCAGATATGGAGCAAGTTTGAAGTATTATGTGAAAGTATGCACTTCTAGGACCACGATTAGGCATTATCTGACGTGTGCTTTACATATTTCAACTGTAATACCTCTAATACCTCTAACTTAAAATTCTACAGTTTAAATAATACGCCATAATCTCAATAACATATTACACAATTACTCGATACTCCCAGCTTTTAAAAATATATTTAATGTCTTTCTTTGTTCTAGTTGTATAGACAAACAAAATAACATATGGTTTATCAAGTTACGTTTTATTCGATTTTACTAGTCCAAGCATGTTAGGCAGATGGCCATTGTTCTTTGTATCCCGGTAAATATAATTTATTGATATTAACTAGGCGGTCTACGCCCACTATCCCCTCTTAAGTTACTGAAACAGTAATATCCTTTAAATATTCTCCAATAATATTAAACCTTTTTCGATGTCGATTAAAGCTTTAAGATGTTACGAAATCAGTATCAACCTATCGACGAATAAATAAGCCCCTTAAAATATTTTTTTACGTAATTCATTATTTTGCTTTATTTGCTCAATACTAACTATAAAGGGGAATAAATAAATAACATACGTAGGTATATATCTATATAGATTTGTGGAATGTTGATCCGTTTTCTTACAAATTCTTGACAAATAACGTTCGCTCGAGAGGTGCGTAATGAAAACCATTGAGCTGTATAATACGCAATCTTTCAACCATATTGGGCCCAAAGTTGATAAATTACACGGTCACTGACTTTTGATTAACGATTGTAATTATTTTTCTCCGTTGATTGCGACTTCAGAGTCGAATTGAGGTACTAGTTGGAGGAAAACATGTGTTATAGGTCACTAAATGGAAGGGATAAACTCATTTTGTTATTATTGGTCTCATTTTTGAATGATGTGAGTAATTAACACTCCCTTTTTAAATTATCAATTATCCTCCCTGCATTATGTGAGTAATTATTTATATCAGGATTCTGTCACCTATAAGGATATTAATTATAAATAGAAAAAAATACTTACAGCTAAGAGCGAACTAATTGTTTAAATTATACTTCAGTATCTATTTACAAAAGTGGATAAACGGTTCATGATTTATAGATGCAATTTTAGTTTTATATACTTTTATATATATTTATAAAAGTATACATTTAAATACCTTTATTCTAGTTTTAAGGGGAATATATCAGACTAATGGTCAGTAGCACAAATGTCTGTTATGGTTTAATGATGCCTTTAAGCTCAAATTAATGTTCTAAATATCGGTAATCATGCTTTTAACTAATGATAATTTATGCAAATGAATCCAATGAAGCGTAACAAGATATAAAACTTTATGTAATTGTTTATTGGGTAAAAAGGAAAACAACTCCATAGAAAACAGTAAACGTTAGCGACTACTTACTATACTAACACCCGGTTTATGAATTGAGAATTTGAAGTTGAGTTCATCTCAAATCGCGCTTAAGCCATTTTAAACGTCAATTAAAAAGGATTTCTATACTGAATTGTAATTTTTTAATGATCAGTTGATAGCAATTTGATAAAACCGGGACTTCTTGCCGTATGAAACGTAAAAAAACTCAAGTTATTGAGAATAATCAGTTGAGATTTTGTGCTTTTCTCCATTTAGAAACCGGCCGTAAGGCTTCTTATACAAGATGCGAATTCTGGCGCGATTTCAGGTTCATCGCTGCAAATGTTTTATTTATATCTAAATACCATTATTTAGGTATAAGCTTAGCATTTTTTTTAAATACAACCTTTTGCGATCCTTATAAGTTTTATAACTGCTTAAGTTATCAATTCAATTTCAATAAATCATACAAAGGTTCGTAAAGCAGTAAGAGTAAAGTTATATGTAACAAAACGCGTCAAATACGCGCGTACTTAATTCTCGGATGCAAACTACATATGGCTAGAGTCAAAGCTATGAAAATGTTATATTGATTTTTAATTAACACGTTTATATGCCTTTACAACGATTTTTTTATTATTATTTATATATCAATTGAAACATTTTAGTTTATTTCAGATTATGTTTTTTTTGTGTTAAATTAACATAATTCAAAAAAGTACAATACCATCCAAACCCACTAATAATAAAATCTTTTTATAGCTATGGCTAAGGTTATAGCAAGAGAGTTAGACGGTCGTTATACTTAAAGTGTTTTAGAACTGAGAAGAAACACACGTTAATACGTGATGTTTTCGCTCTCAGATAAAAAAGAAAAGCTAATGAAATCCGGGGCCTAACTAAATTCTGTCGCAATCCATTTCAATTTGACATTTGAAAGGTATTCACGAACTTCACACTACTATTTGACATGTAATAGCGATTGCAATCGCGGCGTTTTTTTTTAAGATAATGTATGACGATATCGTTAATTTAAAGCAACTATAAATGCTTGAAACCCATTGAGAAATGTGAAACGAAAGACTTTCTAACTTCAATATTTCGAAGGGTTTTACGAGTTAATTACGTTTCTTCCTCATTTGTTCCAAAAGCGATTGTTACATAATTCCATAAATCGTTATCAATCACTATGCCGTTGTAGAGGATTTGATAATTTTAAATTTATATAATTAGATAACTTTACTGTTTTTATAATAAAATATTCAGGTCTGTGCAGCGAATAAACCGAAACAAAGAAATTTTTCACAAAAAGATATAAAAGGTAAGCTGATTAACGTTACGAATTATAGATACTAAATTACCTTTGTGTGAAACTGTCGTAACTTTTAATTATTATTATCTCCAATCAATTTGTGTGTCCTAGTCTGACTTGATTTATCAGTATGTGTATATACATTTATTTGTATGTTTATGTATTTTTTATATAAGTTTATAGTGGGTATGTATATATTTGTGTTTTAATATATAATTAGTTGGTATTACTAGTTAGAAATTTTAACTTTATTCTTTTCATGATACCGCCTATTGAATGCTCTGTAGACCTTCACCGGTTTAGAATGGCTTTTTTTTATTGAATTGTGTCTTATATTTTCTATAACCATTGACTTTATTCTTATTTTTCCAATTAGTTGCCGACTACTCAAAACTACGACTAAAACAGGTGAATTTTCGGGATGGTTCTTACGACGCAAATGACGATTTCGCCGAATCGGTAGCGCAACCGAATACAAAAAATGATGAGAGTTATCATTACGAAGAGAACCTTGCATCTGAAATTCAAAATGAAGAAAATATCGTTGAAGGTACCTGTTATTATCAGCTATAAACTGTTATTGTAGCTGCTTAGTGTTTATATTAACTAGAAAGATAAATTGTCATGAAAATATATAATCTATATCTTTAATCATTATCATCATCATCATCATCAGCCCTTTTACGTCCCCACTGCTCAGGCCTTCCTTATGGAAGGTTAAGGAGAATGGGCCATATCCCTCCACGCTGGCCTAATGCGGATTGGAGGGCATCAACGACTGCAAATGCAGCCGGGACCAACGGCTTAACGTGCCTTCCGAAGTACGGAGTAGCTCGAGATAATAATTTTTGGTTACCCATCCCGTGACGACCCTTACTAAAGTTGCTTAACGACAACGATCGCGGACCGTGGCGCCTATCCACTACGCCACCGAGTAGGATAAGCGCCGCGGCCGATATCTCTTATAATATTATAAATAGTGGAGGTTGATTGTTTTTTGGAACAATTAAGCTCTGAAACTACAGGACCGTTTCACCTACGCAAGTTATATCATATGCGGTGGACACAGACTAAATTTTATGCGGGAAAAACGGCAAATAAAATGATGAAAATGGGAGTGGAAGTTTGTTTAGAGAATTAAAACGTTCCCATAGTAAACATTGTTTACTATTTAATGTAGTTACATCAGTGTCATGATATGTATTGATATCCAAATAAAATGTTCCGCTGGTGGCAAACTAGTTAAGAATACATATTAACACGCAAGATACAAATAGACTTTCAACAATAGCAAAAGACAATAAGTTTCACAATAGTCATATTCAAATTAAATCAATTGGCAAGGCTGTCATCAACAGTACGATTAAAATGTGTAATTAATACTCATTAAATTTGTTTACTCTACATTAAATGCTATTCTGTTAAAAAAATAGCCTCGAACTCGTCGTCGGGCTCGGCTCTATCATGTCATAGCATAGACCTTCACTGAAATTAAACCTTTGTTATCTTTTGAAGTAGGTTTTATTTGATTGAACCTTTATACTAACGCGGCTCTCAATAACGAGTTTGAAGCTGTTTAAAAAATATGAACATCATTTTTTTTTCTCCAAGTAAAGCAATATGGATATCAAATTAAAGGTTTCACATAACAAAAATATGTAACATATAAAAATTAAAAAACACGACTAACAAAATCGAATTAAAAATTATAAAAAAACATGTTGTATTATGGCTTGGGTAAATAAAATTTCACAGAACAGTCCCCCGACTGAATGAGAGTTTTATTTATAAAAGCCATAATACAATTTGTCTCTATCATTTTTGGTTCGATTATCTATAATAGAATAACACTGCTGGAGTCGATATCGAATATAATGATGTATTGTTACATTTTAGCTTATGTAAACAAAGTTTTATTTCGACGAGATTAAGGCCTAGAGCGTAACTTAAAATTTTGATAAGGATGTAGACAATTTTTATTTTATAGATATGAAATATATCTAAAAGAATATCATTCATATAATCTAAAAATAAATTTAATTTTCATAATTTCCCACGAGAACGCCACTTCTATCATGGCGTCACTATGACTTCACGGGATTCTGAAACGAATATCGTTCTATTTAAGCATAAGGTTGAATTCTCTAAGTTCTGATATGAGTAAGAAGGGCGTGACGTCACACGCTGTCTGCGGTCACGTGACAACGAGCATAAAATATTTTTATTTTAATAATTAGTTTAAGTAATATTATCTATATATTAATACGTGAAGCAAAAACTTTGGACCCCTTTATACGTTAATTGCGAGGACGGAGGAGTATGAAATTTGGTACACTTATAGTTTATATGTAGGCGAAGTGCAAATTGCTAATATTTTTCAATAATTATGCTTATAAAGTACAATAAATCGATAAATAAAACATTACACACAGTACTATGCATTTGACACACACAAACAAGTGTTCGCTACACGCATACATGTACTCTGTTGTCAAATTGTTTCTTTTGACATACAGTTTGTTTGTTTCTTTTGAATATTGGGCCAATATTCCGTGAGAAATCTGTAGTTTAAATTTATTATGGTCGAATTTCGACCATTAGGCGACCACTAGTAAATATATCTAATTAGCATAAAAGCAGTTGGTCCTGACTGCATCTTCAGTCGTTAATATTCACCAATCACCATTGAGGCAACCGAAATATTGCGGGTGGAAATTATTATGCATAGTTACAATATTCTAATATTACAAAATTGCACTGTTTATTTATACTTTTTCATATATAAAAATAATTGTTATTTATGCTGACTTTTACATCTCTATACAGCGTGTTTGGTAATACCTGTATAATCCCGAATATGACACATACGGTATGATGAATAGAACCCAGAAAAATGATCACTAAGTCTGAAACCCGGCACATGACTTAGATATTTAGCTTTTTTTTTTCGAAGTAAAACTGTACGCTGACAGCCCTAAAAACAGCTGTTGTTCTAGGAAACGAGAGAGAGTGAGAGGTAATGAGAGAGGGAGAGAGAGAGCGAGTACGCCGGGACGGCACGTATAAGCTTTCAGGGTTATAGCATATTAATTGAAAACAAATTGTTCAAATATTTGTATGAAAATCTCAATTTACGTGAAATTGTTTTTTGACATATTAATTGTGTTCTTTGTGCTAGGTTATATGGCCATGTTTCGGGATTATACATGTATTACCAAACATCCTGTATATTATAACAATGTTTTTTCATTCAATTACTAAAGTGTATCTATTTTTGATAATTACTTTTCAGATACGGAAAGACCTCTATCAGTAGGTATGTTTTTTATTGAAATAAAACTATAACTAACTTATGAAATTTGCGTAAAACTATTATTTTACTAAATTTTAGTAAGCTAAATTTCATTTACTTAGAAAAAACATCACTATAGAAATTTGTTCGATTTGCAAAACTTAATAGCAATATTTAGATACTAAAAACAAAATCATTAAACAAAAAAACGTTATTAAATAACAAGCAATTTCAAAACGTACCTACCTACTACGGCTAACAAAATTTTATAGTGAGTTAATTATGGGCCAAGCTTTACCGCTCTCGCCAAAAGCGCGCCAATTTTAAAATAGGCAAATGAAATTCACTTATACGCTATTCAGTTTACATTGTCCGTAAATCGTTGACGGATAATACAGTCAATATGACAACATCATCCAGTTTTGAAGTTGGTCAATCAATTGTCTATAAAATGTGAAATGTTGTTCTAAAGTTAGATATGGCAATTTATTTTTGTTTTATGTTATCAATTCATTTTAATTTTGTCAAAGGTGACGTATTTGCCGCTTCTGAATTGCTACCAGTTGCAGAGAAATTAATTGCCAAAGGTATTGAAAAAAATAAATTAAAATTCATATTTGAATATGCGCGTACTAATACAAACTAACATCTAATTACAATTTGTAATATTCTTACTAATTGCAGTCGAGAATCCTGGCGGTAAGTAAGGGAAAAAACGTTGATAATTTTGTGTAAAAATTACACAACGTCGGAGTTCCATTAAGTTATATTTTAATGTTAATGTAAGCAATTTTATATTTTAGTTGGGAAAGGCATTGTCAGCTCAGCAAAGAATTCTCAACATTTAGCCGACAAATTGTTTGAACAGTTCTGTAAGTAGGTAACATAATAAATAAATAAAAATTACAAACGATAATTTGAAAATAATCCACTAAATTAATTTAATCAGTATTAAGAAACTTTTATGTTAACAAATTTATATTTACAGTTTTAACTGACAAGAGGATTGTAACTCTAACTGGTAATGTTATTTTTTAAATTCATGTAAGCACTCCTCATAACTCATTTACATTGGTCGATGAGATTCTCGTGCATGGAGCGATTAATACGGCTCATTTCTATCAGTCGGTAATTTTTTAAAGTAACGAATAGAGACTGCAGTGGTTGCTAGCACTCCGTTTGCACATAGACTAATGTAAACAAGCTATTAGAAGGTATATAGTTTTTAAAGTCTAAGTGCTCATAAATATTTTCAGTCCTGCCGTCGACTGACTAGTACGCACATATGACATTATTCAAATGTATTTTGGATAGTTATTTTCCAAAGGCCTTTTAATATTTATTTACAAAATCATTAAATAAGGTTTTAGATGGTTATTTTCAATGAGCCTTTAAATATTTAATTACAAATTCATTATATAAGTTATAATATTATTATGTGACAGGATTCGCGGAGTGAATGAGTTAAGTACACTGACCAACTGAATTCACGAAAAATAATCAGCTATTTCATACTGTTGGCAATTATAATTTTCTATGAAACAGCTGACTATTATGTAGTGTTGCTCACATAGTAAAAGTTCTTCACTATACTTAACTTATCCATCTAAGTCCTGGAATATTATAAAATAACACCTTATATATTACCATTTAAATGATATTTTTTTTAAATACTATTTGCTATAGATTATCTTATTTTATTAAATATTATATGAGACTGTTAAAAATTGACGATTAGAACTTAATCAATAGGATGCTGTGGTAACGACGCTGGCAGTGCCGCCAATCAAATTGTATTACCTACCTCACTTGGCTTTTGATGCTTGTTGCAGGCAATCCTGTTTAAGAAATAATTACATATCCAATATAAGTCCAATATTATTATTGCAATGTCTTCATTACTACATATTATAAAACAAAGTCACTTTCTCTGTCCCTTTATCCCCCTATGTATGCTTCAATCTTTAAAACTACGCAACTAAAGGTTTTTTTCATTCAAAAGAAAGGTTTTCATGTACCTATATTACAAGACAACGCGCGTGAAGCCGCTGGCGGAAAGCTAGTCAACATAAATGGTGATATAATATAATAATATTAGACGTCAAGTAGATAGTACAATGGTAAAATGCAAGTCGTTTAGATTCTATTGAGATGCAATTATTACGCAACTATTAGTAGAATTAGCCTGCTTTTTGGTATTTTTTGATTGGCTACACTGCTGGAGTAGATGTCATGTCATAGCATCAAGTTTAATTTTAGCTTTCGACATAAGTGGTTTGGACGCTCTACAAGCCCTAGCTCTAAGCGGAGAAGGTAAATATCAATATTGTATTGGCTCGTTTATTTTCTTATTAGAATTAAATTATATTTGCACATCGATTTATTTGTTCCAGCTGCGAACCTAAGATCATATGTTCGTTCGACAACAGAATCGGTAACAATTATAGATTATAAAGGTACTTAAATCAATAAATATTCATGTTACGAAACTCAATATTTTTAAATTTCAAAAAGCCATTATCTAATATAAGAGTAAGTTTAAAAATAATTCAATGATGTAGTATACAATACATTTCATTGTTCAGGCTGAAAAGAATAGCTGTTTACAAGGGCAACCTTATAGCTTACAGCATTTTAAAACCTTTTGAATAGAAGGTGGCTAATAATATTAACTAAAAGAAGAATGAACATCCTTATTAAACTAATTTCAGGTCAAAATGTAGCTGTAAATACTGAACCGAAGAAAAGTAAATACCTCTGTAAGTATCAAAACATCGAAACATTTATATAGTTAAGAAAAGTAACGCCGCTACAAAATTTTCAATATCGTCAGATAACATCTATCTGTGTCGTTAGATTATAAACTATCATAAGTTTCATTATCATCAGCCTTTTTACATCCCCACTGCAGGGGCTCCCTGCAGTGGGGATTAAGAAAAGGCTTAAGACCTTCCTTACGTATGGTTAAGGAGGATGGGCTATGACCCTTCACGCTGATCCAATGCTGTTTGGAGAGCATTAACGACTGCAAATGGCAGCCAGGACCAACGGCTTAACATGCCTTCCGAATCTCGGAGTAGCTCGAGATAATAAGTTTTTGGTCACCCATCCCGTGACCAAACCTTGCGAAAGTTTTTTAACAACAACGATCACGGGCCGTTGCGCTTAACCATTACGCCACCGAGCTCCTTATCATTATAATCATATGTTTAGTCTAGGTTAATTCTAGTATGATCAATAAATTGTCGATCCCCGCAATTTTAAGGTGACAACCATTACAGAAACTAATTAATGTATATTATTATTTGGCAGTATTGACGAAGAATGGCAAATCTAAAGTTAAGAAAAGGATTGTTATTATCAACAAAGATAAAGGTAAAATACTTTTTATGTTAAATAAAAATTTTATAAAAAATATATATAACTAACAAACCATTATTTTTTAATTATCACAAAATATTTAAATCATTTAATTTTCTTTCTAAAGCTGCAGACCATAAATCGAAGGAAAACATTTCAAACGTAAAAAAGTTATTGAAAAATGCACTCGTTAAAACGATCGATGAAAATACAAAAAACAGAACAAAAGAACATAATCGTATCAACAAAACAAATGCAGCAAAGAATTTTAATAACACGAAGAAACAAATTAAAGGTATCTTACTTTGATTTAAAATATAAGACTAGAATATATGTATTCAATTTTTAAAGGTTTCAGGAACCGTAAATAATGTTTACGGGTTAACCCAATACATTCATGAGGTATATAAATCCTAATACTATAAAATAGTAAACGAGTTGACTGGAGGATGATGCGCAACCGTATTCGAATTAATGTTTCCCTTTCGAACGAAACAAACGAGAAGGACCTTATGTGTCAAATAATTACATAGCAAAGGCCTAGGTTAGAAACATAACAAAAAATGATTATTTGTAGGGTTTCTAACTGTGACGTAATATTTTCAGGTAACCTCTGAAAGGTTACTCCTGCAAGTCCAAGTATTAAATACTGTGTATCAAAATTTTATTTGCTCAATTTAAAAAGACATAAATACTACTTACGTATTTCACCGATATGTCATTATATATATATATTATTTGAAATTGCATTTAATGTAACTTTTTAGTTCCAAACCCATTTATTTGATTGCTGTTTAATAACCTGTAAACCCTGTAAATTATAAGATAAATTAATATAGATTATATTATTATTTGTATCAATTTATTTAACCTGTGAACTTAATTTCAAGAAAAATGGGTGAGTCCAGTCAAAACAAAATTAAGAAAAAAGGATCTCGAATCTAAAACAAGTGCTTCGAGTGCAAAAGGTAACATAGTTTCAGTTATATACCTCTAAATAACACACATTCTTTCACTATAAGTAGGACTTATATTAAACTAGCTGTTATTTTATGCGACTCTTCCTACGTAAATTATAGTCTATGTTACTAGCGTATGATGTAGCTTGTCGTAGGTAAAGGAATTTTTCGGTCTAGGTTTCTGAATCTATTTTATGCAAACAAACAAACAATCGAATCGTTCCTCTGTATAATATTAATATATATAAGGATAAAAATTTAATATGTTCATGGAAATAATGTAAATATCTACTCATATTTGATTTCAGAAAAAACATCAAAGCCTTTGTGCACCTGGAGGTATACATGTACAAATCCGAGTGATTTGGACACATGTAAACTTCAAACCGAATGTGACAAAAAATATAGGAAGAATGCAAATAAAAACGCAATTGACGGTAATTTTGGTTCAACACTTAATCATTCATTACTCTGAATATCAATTTAAAGTTTATACAAGATAATTATTCAATTTGTGATTTTAGCTCTTGGACTCCCACACAAAGAGGATGAACATTCCCGAGATATTCAACAATTTCGGAAAATGAGTAAGCCATCTTATAATAACTAACAAATCACATTATAAAGGGGTTTCAAATTTTCTTGTTATAACCTGATGAAATCCTGTTTGCCCAATATCCCTGACCCACACAGCCGATAACTAATTCAAAACTTTAAAATATTACGAGTAAAGACGATATTTAAAAGACTAATTTCAGACGAGACAAAAACATTCGATTGAAGTATATGTAGCATTTCGAATAAAAGAACGAAAATAATATCTTGGAAGACCCACTATAAATGTTATGGCAAAAAGACTTATTTGAATTATTAGCAGAAGTGCAACGATTATTTATAGATTTGGAAAAAAAAATATTCTAATTCTATTTCGACACTAGATTATACATCTTAATTTTAACATTTTTATAGTCTTCTTGATTTACCTATTAGCATGTTTAAGTTTACCAAGTTATTTGAACACGTATTGGAATATTTATTTGGTATTTACTGAAGATAATATTTTAATTCTTCATTATATTTTTCAGTTGGAATAAGTCTCGTGGATGAAGAAGTAGAAAAAATAAGTAAGTTGCTACAACATGTTTTTGATTTCCTTCATTAAAACATAACATGGGACGTACATGAACGAGGAAATGTCTTGTTTCGCAGTAGAGAGTCGAGTTATAAACCTGAGACCATCTCCGGGAGGAAGTAAGTAACTACATTAATATGAACTCTTAAAGATTATATTGCGATAATAATTACGCAGAAATTGCACTTTCTCCATGTTTTTACAGAGGAATTGGAAAGGCTGGAGTCATTGGCTGAATATTTTCATAACATCGTTATGGCTGAAGCTTTAAGTAAGTTTTTCTTGGTTTAAATTTTCAGTCTTATTTAGGAAATTCTTAAAAACTTATCAAATTCATCTTCAATTGAGAAATAATCAGTTTCGCGTGTCACATATGACAATTTTACTTTCCAACATTGGACAATAAAATTATAAAAAGCCATCAAATTCGCATCAGAAAATAATGATAGTAATAACTTTTTTATCCTGGTTATGGTATACAAGTGAAAATACAGGTTTCTGGTGTATCTCCGGAAAATATAAACAATTTTAACTTATAAATATTGAATAAGGTAAATTTTATCTTTAGCCTATGCGTTTGCCAAGTACTCTTAAATCTATGACAAGGATCGATAGCTACTCCCTTTAACCAACCTTTAACGGCTTCGAGAAAAGGATAGTACGGCCGTACCATGTTTACCCTTTTTGCTCAACTTGCCGGGGGCATGGAAGTGACCCCAGATTATACAAATTTGGAAGATATTAGACTGAAAACTTAAAAAAGGCAAAAAAGATATATTTCAAAAATTGCCTAAAATACATATTGTATTAAAATAATTTTCATTATAACAACTATAAGATAGCCATACATTTTTCGCTAACGTAGCAAGGCCTAATGTCACTTCGTGGTTTGAATTTGTAGGGAGCATTTTTTTGTCGACTAGCAGCAGTTCCACAAACATAGCACCTCATCTCTGGACCTATTAAACACAGACATGTTGTATTACTTCTACATTATTTCTCAGATACTAATAGTCTTGTATTTGTTTATAAAAGAAAAGCAGTAATTAATTATATTTTAGTAATTATTGAAACAAAATCGATGACCAACTGAAATCACAACGATGTATGAACTTTGAACAATAAACTTTTCCTAAATGTTAATATTCTGTTTAGAATCAAAATCTACAACGCCGGTTTATGCTGAAAATATAAATGAAGATTCTACCATAGTTCCAGAATCGGAACAGGACAATGACACTCTTAGCCAGGTAACTTTAATGCTTTTAATTTTTATTCTATGTACAGTCATATAAGAATATAAATCTGTCAAATTAGCCCACTTGATTTTAAACCTTAATGCATTGCGGGTGAAGTTAAAAATTAACTGAGGACATTTGATATATAGTGGTTTAGAATTTTACACAGTGTAGAAAAAAATTGTAAAAATGTAAGAAAACGTTGTACGCCACCCAATCATCTACTAGCGAAATCGAAATTTGTAGCACAAACTAGACTAACCTTTTTTGATTCATATCGCTGTCAAACAAGAGTAGCGATTGTAAGTGTACAATTTTGAAATACAATTAATTATTCCAATCAACATATAAGGACATTGTATTTATTTGATTGTACTACTAAGTAGACGAAATTGGTATTGATATACTGAACCTATTTAACAAATATATATATAGATTAGTCTTATTATTTTTAGGAAAAATAGTTCATAATTTTAAGAACATAAAGGTTTCCATACAATAAGTATGCAAGCTTAATGAGCTTCGAAGTCGTTAAAAACCAAAAGTATTTTATGATATTTCTAAAAAGCATGTTTTCTCTTTCTCTTAATTACCAGAACAATGAAGAAGACAAGACTGAAGAAATAAATTCAAATCCTGACAGCCTTCGAAGTGGTCGAAATAAATTAAAACAACCAACGCGCTCCATGGTCCACACAACATCACATAAAGTTGTTTTGTAAAAGAATATATTAATCGTAATGTTATATTTTGTCATCTTATTAAAATATGTTAACAAACATTAACTAAATTTTTCATCATCAGCCGGCTTTTCCTAGAGTCAGTGGCATAGTGGATAAGCGCTAGTGATGCGACTCGAGTTGGATTTTGTGACTTGAGTCACTCGAATCAATAAAATACGTCACAAGAGTCATACTCGAGTATAAAAATTGCAAATGTGCTACTCGAGTGAGAATTCTCTTACTAATTTTAAACAAATACCTATTTAATATTAATAAAATACACAGTAAAACAATTTTGACATATTATTTCTTTAAGTTATCGAATATAAAAAAATAAGTAGTATATATAAATAAATTGGAGTAGCGAAGTGACATGTAGTAGCAAGAGAATCAACTCGATGCGCCGAGTTGACTCGATAATTCGAGTGCATTGAGATTCAAGTAATATTTTTTTAACTTGAGTACGACTTTGAAAAAAATGCATTCAGTAAACAAGGACTCAAGTCGCATCACTAAGTGCTGCAGCCCGCGGTCGTTGTTGTTAAGCAACTTTCAAGACACATATAACAATAAAACTATATTTTTTTAAATGACGAAGAAATCTAGACAGAAAAATATAAGTAGAAGAAATCTACTCGGCATTGGTGTGAATATTCAAAGTAAATTTCACTCGCTTCGCAAAGTACTCGTATTTAAACGTTCGCGAAACAAAAAGTGCGCTAGTTACAAATATTATTATAGGCAAAGCAGAAAGGCGAAAGGTTACACGCGCCAGCTGCACATTGTGGAGGCTCGTTCGATTCTTCGAAGTGGGACAGGGGACGAGGCTAACTCACAACAAACCATAAAAGGCGTCCCGGAATCAAATGACACCATTCAGCCACTCGCCACCGAGACCAATGACTATCGACTTTGCACAACTGTCTTAGTTTTATTGTGCGGTCTTTTATAACAGTTTGTTTCAAGTTTTATAGGAGAGGGTAAATTATGTTATAATGGGAATATAAATAAAAAATATAAACGGTAGGTTTTGACTTATTTAATTACGTATATTTTAGTTGATACATGCTTTAGTTATTGTAAGTAAGAATTACAATTTAAATATTTCATATGTCATTGTCATCGGGAAGATGAGGTTTGTTTAACTATACAGGAAATGACACTCAGAATACTAGCAAATGAGACTGAAGTAGTACTAACAATTGATTCGTCTTTCCTAAATGAAATGAGATGAAATAACAGTCGGCGACAGATAATATAAAACTAATATTAAGAACTCCATCATAACGAATGAGAAAGCGATGTGGCCTCTTCTGAATTTCAAATGAATGGACGTAATCCATATTTCAGTGGAGGTGGCAGCCGCAAGCCGCGCTGAACCGGGGATTAGGAGTCGGCCTAAAATCCTTCGGTTGATGAAAAACTGTGTATAGCAGATTGTCTTGTGCAATGGATTCTAAGTTGCTCTCAGCTGATGTTGCATTTAATTAGTCTAGATAGGCACTTTGCCGTCGACGTTATAATTTGATTTTACTTACACGACGACACGACGTTATAATGTGTTAGAAATGTCAAGCGTGCCGGTTCAGATTTTCAGCAAATTACCATCCGGCCGCGAGCGGAATGTTTGTATATTAGGCAAATATTTTGACATCGGTAAATGGATATTATCTTTTGTGATATTTTTGTGGTTTCAATGAAATGTGTGGAGTTCTTTTACAGATTTCATTACGCTGAAACATAACCTGTGATCCAGATCTTATTCAATAAGTTTGCATTGAATGCCATTGATGAAATGTTTCATTTATGGATGAGAAGATATAACTTTCTAGTTCTTAAAAATCCTTCACTGGCTGTGAAAATATTATTAAAAATACTGATGAAAATCCATGATGTCTATTTGTAGGTCATGGCCGAATACCTCTTCTTACTAACCAGAACACTTGTGTGCTAGTAACCTAAACTATATTTACAAATGACTCACGCTATCAAATCTTTATTTTATAATCCAATATTTATTTACATAAAGCACTTTCATTTCACTTCATTTATTAATTTGCCACAAACGTAGAAATGAGATATCAGAGTTATTTTTGATATGTACATGAAGTTTCGCCTATTACGAAGCATGAAAATTTATATAGTCTTATTATTATTTAACAATTATTGAATTTATAATGTCAATATTGGTCTCATATAGATATAATATAAATCTGTATGTCAAATAATTAAGTGTCAGGATTAAATATCAGATACATATTGTTAACATAATAATAATATTCCACAATTTAAGTATATTTTTAAGTCAAAATATTCTAAATATCATAAAAGTTTTCTGTCAGTTTATATAAATATTTTATATATATTTTCTAAATCTAATTATAATACTTAAAGATCAGGTTATCTGGTATATTATTGTACAATTTAATGCACATAGCAAGACAAGTTATAGAGTACTGCATTGTTTGATGTTTTTCATGTAGTACCAATCTATTTGGATTTCTAGTATTGCGGGGATAAACCTCACACGCCCTTACAAACAGCTTAGGGTTCCGCATATGAAGCGTGGGTTTGTTGATGGAAGGGTGAGCACCCCCCAGACTTCAGATACAAAACTAAAAAACTTGTTTTAACTATCTTTATATTTTTTAATCTCAGATTCTCTCAGAATGGTCCTTGTGGCTTCTATTGCTTAATGTTGAAATAGAGAATTAATGTCGAGCTCGTGGGGCAGAGTGTTACTGGCCTGGCAGCGGCTGGCAAGGGTATAGGAAGACCCGTAGTCAGCTCCAGTCAGCAGCACTGGAGATCCACGACGTCTTGACACGTAGGACGCAGAGTAGCGTAGGTCAGGCAGACTCCGGTCCAGTTTTGGTTGGGGTTACTTAGCACACACTTAAAACTTAACTTAAATATTTGAAAAACACTTAAAAATGAAGTATTGCCGCGCGAGAGGTCGATCGATTATATACTAATTCACCATCATAAGTCGCGCTGCGTTCCTATGTCTGACTACCTCCATACAATAATCATTACCAGTGTACCTACAATTACGATATTTTTAATTATTATATTACTTTAAATATTTAAATAGACGTTTATTTGTATCGTAACGTAAAAAGGAATTAAGCGCATCAGCTAAACATGTGAAAGAGAAACAGTTTATTTAGTAAACTGTTACACATAATAAACACATATACCTTATACATATAGAACGATGGAAGAATCAGCAAGACCAGACGCGGAAACAAGTCGCGACCGGATGTTAGTGGAGGAACATTTTTTCTGAGCAATAAAAGCTCTGTTGATATTTTTACTATTACCCCAGAATATCAAACTATATCGCAATATAGATATTACAGATATATGTTATGAAACTGATTCTTTTGCATCATAGTATTTGACTAATTGCATAGTCAATCCAAAAAAGGATGACAGGTTATTATTAAACGACGATGTTATGTCACTTTGAGCAAAAACAAATTATCAGGTATAGTGTATTAATTTGAATGAAACAAACAATTTTGCATTGTTTGAGTGACATATCAATTTGACTTTGTAACGCTCGACTCGCAACTGTAGAGTTCAAACGAGCTTCGATCGTACCGTGGTTATTGTGCACGACAGATACTGTTGTCTCTCAGAGCAATAGATTCTAACAAGCTTAATTTTCAAGTATTTCCAGTAGCGTTCGCTAGTAATTTACTGTTTCCCATTCCAGTCACCATTCACGAGTAAATCTTATAACAAAATTATTTATAGTTAATATTTTCTTATGCCCAAATTAAATATGAATTGAAAAACCATTTTAAATCATCATAAACTAGAAATAAAAAAACTTCAAACTCTTAACTAAGTTTGAAATAGATATACAGGAAGAATTTGTAATCGGGCACAAAATTTTAATATTGTGGCTATCACCGTAAATCAAATCGATGTTTCACCTGTCTCTTTTTTAAATTACTTATATCGAATTAAAGTTGAATAAAGATGTTAATAAACACGTTACATCGCTGTAATTAAATTTTGCTGACCGATTTTTGTCAATATAACTACAGTTTTAGTGTTCCACTATTCAAATAAACACGAAGATATTAATAAATAATAACAATGCAAAACAGTAGAAATGAAAAATTACAGTGATTAAAATAAATTTCCTGTAGATGATATACTTAACTGGAAAGAAAATGAAGGGTGTTAATAAAATGTAAATGAATAATTAATCAAGAAATGTTAATGAATTATTATTACAATATTGTTTTCCCTATATTGGATCTAGTCGACATCATCAGCTTATTAAAATCCCCACTACTAGGGGAAAAGACCTTCACTATGAGTGGAATCGAATTGAAACAAATAGGTAACCTATCGCAATTAGATATTGCGTTATAATATTTTTTGTAAAGACTATTGTTATACCTAGTTGTAATACTAAAAAAAAAAGATTATTAAACGATCTGACATAATATACAGGGTTATAATTTAGTCGAGTTATTCCAATTAACA